AGGAATACAGATGTTTGGAGCAGTAGCCTGTATGGGGTTTGACTCTGATCATGATTTTCACATTGTTATAGTTAAAGTGTTGTCAAGCTTCATTACAAACTGTAAAATAATTTCTATGCACAGTATGTGGTATAGCCAGAATAGCAAAATGAAGTCATAGTTGCACACACAGACTGATACCTGCTTTTTCTTTTACTTGCATATTCTAAGAGAGGAAGGCAAGATAGAAGAAGCTCCAGTTGCTGGAAAACAAATTCACTTTGATAGTTTAATTTATGCTCCTGCTATTGCTTTGTTCTCAGCACTGCAGCAATGCAACCCATTTACTGTGGCCTTCAAAAATATACAGATTACAAACTACCATTGTCTGTGTCATCAAGAAATGTTATTAGTTACATAATGCTGCGAAGAGCTGAAGTCATACCATGTACTGAGGGAGGTAGTTTAGAAGTACAAAGGCTGCTTGTTCTATCAATTACAATTTCTATATATTCTGCAGTGCCTTTCACACTGTCATTAATAATGGAAACATCTTTCACAAGTGCTAATGTGGACAGCAGCCTGATATACAATAACAGAATTGCTCTGATACACAATAACAAAAATAGCCACTGGTGCAACTGAATCAATGCCAAATTCAGATTAGCTGGAATCTGTTAATCTGCAGAGAAGACCCCATAATAACAGTTAAATTTCAGCCAGGTTTTATTACCAGTGACTATTTTTCATAGTATACAAGATGCTATATACTGCTGTAAAAGCTGTAAAGTTGATTAGAAAAATATATTTTGGCTGTTTTTTTTTCCAACACAAAACACTGTTTTTGCTAAACCTGAACACTTTGAAATTGGCAAATTTTGATTACAATTCCTTAGGGACAAATATGAAATGGCAAAAAAAAAAGATTATTCAGTTTGAAATATGATGTTTTGCTTTTTAGAAATCTCATTTGCATTTTATTTTAAATTTATTTTATGTTATTTCACGACCTTTCAGTTGTAGTAGTGATTTGTGGTATCTGAAAAGCATAATCAGAGGTAGGATTAACAAGTTTTGCACCTTTTCTGCACCCTTGGGGTCAGGGTAGGGGGGAAGGATACTAACCTCAGAGTAGAGGGAGGCAGAGTGGGGGATGGAGAAGAGCAATCATTTTAACCTATCCTGACCTCTGCTGCTGTGGTGTCCCAGCTCCTATGGCCAACATAGGATGTTCCTCTGGTGTGGGGCTGTTCTGCCACAGAATTCCTGGAAGGAGGAAGGATGCTGGGGACCCTAACAGGTAGCTCAGCTTTGACTAATTGCCCACTTGGCCAAACCTGCCAGAGGCTCTAACTGGCAGGCAGCCTCACCCTGACTGATGCACTAGCTGGTAACTCCTAGTGCCTCCTTATTTGGCTGCTGGGGATAAAGGCTCCCCATATATGTCTATCTGCAGCAGACGTCAGATTAGCCAACAGTTCTGCCTGAAGGTCTTCTGTGCAAAGCCTGCCTGGATCTTGTGCTCTTTGGTTTTTTGGCTTCTGTACCTTCTCAGTTCTGCTTCTGGACTCTGGCTTTTGGGAACTCTACTCAGCTTTACCTTGGTCCCTGACTCCAGAACCCTGACTTGGTCTGTGACTTGGACAATGCCTTGGAATTTGTCCTTGGTTTTGGTAATATGGACTCCAGTTCCTGCCCTGCTCTGTGACTCTGCATCCCCCAGCTTCTGTCTTTGGCCCTTCTTGGTGGTCTGTGCATTAGCCCAGACTGCCTATGACATGATCCTTACAGGGGGAAATGCCATTTCAGCACCACCTCTGACTTAGTGACCGTGGTTATTGACCTTTTCACCCCGCAGTTATACTGATGGACTTGACGTAATATGCTACTTATTATATAATTAAAGGTAGTTGTTATTTACTACAGATTGCTATGCAAGGAAAACTCTGATCTAGAAAAGATGGCTTCTCAAGTAACTGATCTAGTGGTAGATTTGCTTATACAGGAAACCCTTGCTATTCGCAAATTCGTTATTCGTGGATTCGAATATTTGTGGCATGCCGCACCGACAGGGTGGGTTGAGGCGAGTGCTGCGGCAGCTCCCTCCAGCGCTGCACTGAGCTCCTGCCTCTGTGTAAGCAGGCACGGAGTGGGGGAGAGCAGAGCTGGGGAGAGTAATGCAGAGAGCAGAGCCGGGCAGGTGGAGGGGGAGGGCAGAGCCGGGTGGGTGGAGAGTGAGTGCTGGGGACAGGGAGGGAGGCAGCAGCTGTGTTTGGTCCCTAGGTGCTGTGGGGGAGCCCTGCACTTCCAGGTTCTCACTGGGGGGGGAGCAGGAGGCAGCTGTGGGGTCTGATGTGGAGCCCCGTCAGTATTAATGAATTTTGCCATTTGTGGGGATCTCAAGAAGGAATCCCCTGTGATTGGTGATGGTTTCCTGTATTGAAGTGGTTGGCCACAGATTAGGTTATCCAAATACCACTCACTTGTATACTGAACAGGATCCCTGTACCTGGTGATATGCCTCCTTAGCATCAGGACTGACCTAGCAGTTGCCTTGGTTACCCTGAAGTTTTCTCTCTATTGTTCACCATCCTACATCCTCAACATTATTGTCTTCCACCAGTCTACACATGATTGGAACCTGGGACAGATCACCTACAGGTGGTTCCACAAAGTTTGTCCTCTATTAATTCCCAGAGACATCTTCTTAGCATGTTGCTATCACTTTGAGAGAGCAGAGCACTCATTTTCCACATACCTCTTTCCAATGTCAAATTTATGGCCGGCAAGTATCATAAGGAAAGTGGCTTCTTGCTGTGATAGTCACGAGCAGTGCTACTGCTTGACAAAGTTCCATAGTAAATGCCTGCATACTAGAAAGTGGGAGATGTTTATTTTCTGCATTTGCTCAGTGCACAGTGACTCTGGAA